CCGCTGCCGCCTCTGCTGCTGCCGCTGCCGCTGCTGCGTGAGGACGCAGACGGCACGGCCTCAGATGACGAGGCGGCGAATCGGAGCAGCGCCCTGTTGCGCAGTTGAGCTCGCTCGCATGCGGCACGCGCCAAGTCGGCCGATCCGGGGCCGGATGTCGTGGCAATTCAGCACTAATGGCGAGCTGTATCGCCCGTCGCCGGAAGCTCTGTCTCGCCTGCACGCCTTGCAACACGATCAACAGCGCCTCGCGGCTGCATCGAAACTCAGCGTTGCGCGGTACTGGCGCGTGCCACTGAAGCCGCGGGGACAGCACCTGCTCGGGAGCGCATTCAGCACATCCTCGGCTGATGTGGCTGTGGACCCCACCCATGTGGAGAGGCGCCCATGCGAACCGTAGCAGAAATCCGGCGGCTCTGGTTGTGGCCGAACCCTTCCGGTGTGACCGGAAGCATATTTCAATGTCGCTGCCTGAAAGTGGGTTCTTTTCCCGGATGGATGCGACGACCCTCTTTTGAAATATAAATGTACTTGAATGCTCCGCAGAGGGCCAGAACGTCGCGATTGTCGATAGTGCGGTTGGATGGTGACGCGGAGAATCGCGGTCTGTGTCTGGTTTGTGCAGGGATAGAGCGTTCTATTCATCTGAAGGTGCTCTAGCAGCCAACCCCGCAACTTTGAGAGGAAAGTGAGCTAGATCCGGGTGAAACACTCTTTATGTATTTTGGGTTAGGTCTCGCCATTTTTTCCTGCCCGGCCCCCCCCCCCCCCATTGTTATATGAACCCTTACGCTATGTTTATTTTTATGCTGTTATTATTGTTCGGGTAGAGTAACTCAAGTGCATATGAGCGTATCAAAATGTCATTAAGTCGTTCTTCCGTCGAGCTGTAGAGTGAAAGGGAGTCTCTTCAACAAGTGGGACAGTCATATGTGGGACATTATGATGATACGTGCTATTGTCTTTGGGCTTTCACGCTGAGCACCAGTGCTTTTAACGGTTAGCATTATGTGATCTCTCGATTAAATGTTATCAGTAGGATCTTTGGGACATAAGTAGGTGAAGTGGGTCGTTACCACCACGCTTGCTCAAATGATTTTGCCGTTCCTAAGCGTTCGGCGACCCCCACCAATCAAACTGTCACCTACGCCCGCCAATTACTGTACATTCAGGTCTCGTCCATTCTGTAGTGCGTTCGTGCGAAACAGTAAGCAGCGGTGGGCGGCCGGTGGACGCCCCCGACGCACGCACCCCGTCAATCGATCCCCCCCCCCCCCCCCCCCAGTGTGGCGGGCTCGGGCGGCTCATGCCGACGGCGTCCGCATGGCCGCATGATAGATGGGCCGCATGTCCGCGGCCAGCGGTGTGAGAGGCGCCGCCCTCTTGCCCTTGCTTGGTAGACAGCAGTGTAGCCCACCCACCCTCGCACCCCCGCCTGGGGACAGCAGTGCAGCCCGCCCCACCCTCGCGCCCCCGCCTGGGGACAGCATGCAGCCCGCCCACCCCGCACCCCCGCCTGGGGACAGCAGGTAGCCCACCCACCCTCGCGCCCCCGCCTGGGGACAGCAGTGTAGCCCACCCACCCTCGCGCCCCCGCCTGGGGACAGCAGTGCAGCCGCCGCCCTCGCCCCCCCCCCGCCTGGGGACAGCAGTGTAGCCCACCCACCCTCCGCCACCCCACCTCGGGGACAGCAGTGTAGCCCACCCACCCTCGCGCCCCGCCTGGGGACAGCAGTGCAGCCCGCCCACCCTCGCACCCCCGCCTGGGGACAGCAGTGTAGCCCACCCACCTCGCGCCCCCGCCTGGGGACAGCAGTGTAGCCCACCCACCCTCGCACCCCCGCCTGGGGGACAGCAGTGCGCCCGCCCACCCTCGCACCCCCGCCTGGGGACAGCAGTGCAGCCGCCCACCTCGCACCCCCGCCTGGGGACAGCAGTGCAGCCCGCCCACCCTCGCACCCCGCCTGGGACAGCAGTGTAGCCCCCCACCCTCGCACCCCCGCCTGGGGACAGCAGTGCAGCCCGCCCCCCCTCGCACCCCCGCCTGGGGACAGCAGTGCAGCCCGCCCCCCTCGCGCCCCCGCCTGGACAGCAGTGTAGCCCACCACCCTCGCCCACCCCCGCCTGGGGACAGCAGTGCAGCCCGCCCCCCCCTCGCACCCCCGCCTGGGACAGCAGTGCAGCCACCCACCCTCGCCCCCCCTGGGGACAGCATGTAGCCCACCCACCCTCGCACCCCCGCCTGGGGACAGCAGTGCAGCCCGCCCCCCTGCGCCCCCGCCCTGGGACAGCAGTGCAGCCCCCCGCACCCCCTGGGGACAGCAGTGTAGCCCGCCTGCCCTGGCGCCCCCGCCCGGTGGACAGCAGTGTCGGAGTCGGCTTGCAACTGGCCTGCGGTCGTCGGCGGGGAGTGGGGGCATGGCTTTCGCCGCCCCCGGTTGTGTGTCGGCCCCTTTCGCTGCCTGCTCACAGGTGTGTCAGCCTGTAGTTATGCCGCACCCTCCGGTTTGCTGCTGATGGCGACAGCGAACTAGAGGCACGAACACGCGGGGCTCTGCATGAAGACAATGCTGGAACGGAAGGGAGCAGAGACGACAGCCCATGAAAGGTCTTTGCCGGCTGCATGTTACTCTCCCCAGTATTTCAGTGGCAGGGAGTATCATCCTAAATTTGACGTGCCCTGCCACGATGTATCGTATGGCGCTATAGACCACTGTGCTCTCACTGGTGCCGGCGCCTTGGTCACAGCCCACCGAATCGGCTTCGTCCCGAGCATCTGCGCGCGGTGGTCGTCCGGCCGCCGCCGCGCTCCGTGCGATGCGTCCGCTCTTCGCTCACGGACAGGACGTGTCGGGGCCGATCTATCAGGCCGGGTAATCAGAGCCCGGCGGCACCTGTCCGCCGCCGGCGATGGACCGGCGGCCGGACCCTCCCGGCGTCCGCCCCGGCCTCGGCGAGGACTTTCTTACGCGCCTGTCGGAGCGTGCGTCGGTCACCTGTGGGATGAGCCCCGTTTTCTGCGCCGCGCGCCCCCGTATGCCGGCCGGCGAGGGCTGGGCGTGACCCCTCCTCTCCCTCCTCACTTCCCTCCCTTCTGTGCCGGTCAGCCCTGCTGTGCTCTGTCGCCGCGGCCCTCCCTGCGGCGTCGGTCGGCGGGGGCCGGACCTGCTCGCCACCGGCCACCCGGGACCGTCTCGCCTCCCCCCGCGGCGGCCGGCCGTGCGAGCACACCGCCTCACGGCGGCCCCTCTGTGCCAGTCTGGTCAGCGGGCACCGGCGAATCATGCCGCCATCGATCGGCGGGGAGCGATGACGGCCGCCGCCGGCGCCGCGCTGTCTGCCCCGCGTGTCCCCGCCGTCTGCCCCGAGCCCCTGCCGCCGCCGGATTATCCGCCCGACGCCCGCCACTGCTGACAGATCTGGGGCGGGGCAGACGCGCCGCGGACGGAGGGCGGGCGCAGAGCGGCGGACGGGCTAAATACCGCGTACGGAGGGAACAAACGTACGAAAGGCGCAGGACAGACGAGCGAAAGACGCGGCCTGTGACCGGCGTGTTGAACACAGGCCACTTAAATACACCTGAGAAAGAGAAGGGCTGGAAGCAGCGTGGTGATGGCCATGATTTGAGCCTTGTGCCGTCCACGCGAGGTTCAGGTTCGCCCATCCGTGACGAGTATTGTGCTGCGGTCTGGCGACGATCGTAAAACAAACTGTCACGCCGCGGTGGCATGTAATCACCGGCACCGCGTATGTAGGCTTCTCAGTTACCATCCGCGGTGATTACATGGCTCCGTCAGACAGGTCCTGACCTCAGTATTCAGACAGGTGGCAGCGGTCTGACTCACTGTCCCAGACAGCCGAGCCCGACCTGGCTCGATGCGCCGAAGGGTGCCGACGGCTCCCCTGTCGCCCGTCTCGCCGTAACGATCGGCCGCCGAGCCGCTGGCTGGCGGCCCGGCGGGCCCGCTGCCGGCCTTTGTCACTCTCCGCCGGTGTAGCAGCGGCGAGCGGGACCGCAGGCCAGCCAGCGGGGAAGTGTTGACCGAGCTGCACCAAGGTCGCCGGCGCCGAAACGCCCAAGCCTCTGATGGGAGTGGGTCGCTCGTCCGGAGCGCTGGCGGCGCCGGCGCCGCGGGGCCTCCCAAAATGACATTTCACTCGCCGTAAATCTCCGTTTGGTCGCCCCGCTGCGTGGGAGCGTTGTATTGTTGCCGACGTGGCGTCTGTGGGAAACCGCCTGGCGGACGTCCGCCGTGCCGCCGCCCGCCCCGTTCTGCCCGGCTGGGCTCGTCGCCAGGGGCTGTTGTCTCGGTGGCTTGCGGCTCTGAGACGGCCGCTATCTACCCGTATCTGATACCGGGTTTGCAGTGTTTTTGTGGGCGCTGGTGGACTGAGCCGGCTGGCGTCCTTATCTGAGGTCGGCTTTAAAAACCAGTTTTGGATGGCTGTGTTTGTTTGAAGTGTCTCGTTCCTCGTAGACGCGTAAATACCCTCCCAGAGACCAACCATCGCGGTGCTGACTGATAATTTCTTATTTTTGAATGACGAAGTGACATACAAGGCTCAGTCGTGAACTGGTGCACTGACACAGTGACGGCTAGTCACTGATGGTTTTGTCACCGGTACGAACAGCGAGGCGGGTTATCAGCTTTGTGAGGTTTCGCGCTCCTACCTTCACAGCCGCCCCGACTGACCTTGGGATGCGGCGCTTTTGCAGGCGTTCCGGTGCCCCTCACAAGCCTTGGTATTTCCCAGAGCCGCACCGCGCCTTGCTGTAAACGTGGAGCGTGCGTCACTCCACGCTCGCCACACAAGCCATAATCCGCTGCGTTATGCGTTGGCCCGGCGTCTGCCAGGGGGGAGGGGGAGGGGGTTCGCCATGCCAAGTGTGACCGCGCCGTGTGCAGCGCTGACCCCTCGTGTGGTTCGCCTCTCTGACAGGGCCGGGAGGCGCACGAGGTCGCCACGCTCTGGAAGGTGATGCACGAGCTTGCTGGACTTGGCGACGCCAGCTGGTGACGGGCACGCTGACCCAGGACCAGACCCGCGAGCTGCGGATCAAGGTCACCGCCAAGATCGACTGGGGAAACAGGTCAGTGCGCCGGTCGTCGTCGCCTCGCGGGCGGCTCTGCGGACCCCGGCGCGAGCTGGCGTCTCGGACGTGACTCGCAAAGCTCCGCCCGGCGGATTTCCAGCGCAGCCAACTGGCTAGGAGCACGCCTCGTTCGCGGTCGGCTCGGTCTGCCGGCCGACTTTCCAGCTACCGCCGTCGGCTCGGCTGTGGGCGAGGTTTGTGAAGACGTTTGCCAACATCAGCTGTCGGGTTCCTCGGTGGCCACTGGTTAGGTTTGGCCCGCCGCCCTGGCGGTGGTGTCCGGGCACCCCCGCGCGTGCACCGGAGCTGGAGCCCGGGTCGCAGTCGGTCCGGCCGGCGCTGACCGGGGCCGGCACCGGTGTCAGGCTGACGCCGGTGCCCGCAGCCTGGCCCACCGGTGTCAGGTTGTGGCTGGGGTCGGACGGGCGGCCTACTGACGTGGCCCGCATGCTGGGCCGGGCCGGATCGAGCGCGGGTCTCCGTGCGGTCGCCGCGGTCTCGGCGGTGACGGTCTGCGGTCAGCCACCGGCCGTCCCCGCCGACACCGACGCATGTGCGCCCTGGTCACGCTAGTGCTTACGAGCAGAGAGGAGGAGAGAAGGAGGCGAGGTCGCCACTGCATGTGTGCGCTGTCGCTGCTAGAGCTCGTGAGCAGAGAGGGACGGCAACACGCCAGCGCGCACGCGCGGTCGCCGCCGCACGCGCGCTGTGGCGCTGCTCACGCCCCCCGGGATGGACGATGCGGCCGGCTCGGGTGTGGTGCGCGGATACGCCCCCATCACCCGACCCCGCCGCAGCGCGCGGAGCCGCTCCCAGCCGCGTTATCGCCGCCCCACCGATGCCAGCGACGGGTGAGGTCAGCGCGCCGCCGGCTCCTCGGCGCGCTTCCGCTCCGCCGGGGCTTATCTCGGCGCCGGCGCCGGTGCGACCCGCAGCCGTGACCCGCGGCGCGCGGCGGCCGCCGGCAGCCCGACCTCCTTAGCCGGTCTGACCCGGCCGACCCTGGCGTCCGGTCGGCGCGCCGGCGGGTCGGCCGGGGCAGCCCGGCGGGCGGAGCTACCGGCGTCCGGGCGGCGCCGCCCCGCCCGCTCGCCGCGAGGTGAGCGATGTGGCAGCGCAGGCCGCGCCATCTGGCGCGTGAGACGCCGGTGATGGCCCGGCTAGGTGGGCGGTCAAGGCCGCGGCGTCGCTGCAGCGGGAGCCGAGATCGCGCCGAACGGGGCTGGCTATTGTGGCGCGGCGCCGGCGGCGGCGCGGAGGGAGCTGGCCGGGAGCGGGCGTGCGGGGTCGGCGTCGGCGGCGTGTGGTGGTCGCCGACCGGCCGCTTCGGGTGTGATGGATGAGCATGGCTCGGCCGTGAAGCGAGATTGGCGCCGGTTGATCGCGACGTCTGTCTCGCTCGTGGCAGTGACGCCCGGCCTCCGGACGCGGTACATCCATCAGCCGGATCGGACCGTGATGGAACGCGGCCAGTCGAGATTCACACTCGGGGACGATCACCGCTCGGGGAGCTCGCCGGGTTGCCCCCCCCCCCCCCCCACGCTGTTCTATGACCTGGCGCCCAGCCGTTCTCTCGCGACGCCCGCGACCGAGGGGTGGCGGCGCTCAGCGGCCAGCTTGTCCATGCTGCTCCAGCACGGTCGCAGGTGGGACGGAAATGAACTTTTCCTTGCTTTTGGCTGACGCTGGGTCTGGCTTCCCTCGAATGTCCAGAAGTAATTGACGAGGGCTGGCAGGCGTCTGCCGCCGCCGCCGCCACCATCACCAGCATCCGTGTTTTGTGGTGAGAAGGCGGCGGCGGCGGCCTGGCCTCGGCCTCGGCAACGATCGTGCGTGATGTGAGCGAGGCAGCGCGCGGCCTCGCCGCCTGTGGTGGACTGCCGCCCGGCAGCCGGCTCAGGACAGACAGCTCACCAGCAGGACACACACACGGGACACCCTGACCAGCCGGCTCTGGGCAGACAGCTCACCAGCAGGACACACACACGGGACACCTGACCAGCCGGCTCTGGGCAGATAGCTCACCAGCAGGACACACACACGGGACACCTGACCAACCGGCTCTGGGCAGATAGCTCACCAGCAGGACACACACACGGGACACCTGACCAGCCGGCTCTGGGCAGATAGCTCACCAGCAGGACACACACACGGGACACCTGACCAGCCGGCTCTGGGCAGATAGCTCACCAGCAGGACACACACACGGGACACCTGACCAGCCGGCTCCGGGCAGACAGCTCACCAGCAGGACACACACACAGGACACCTGACCAGCCGGCTCTGGGCAGACAGCTCACCAGCAGGACACACACGGGACACCTGACCAGCCGGCTTTGGCAGACAGCTCACCAGCAGGGCACACACACAGGACACCTGACCAGCCGGCTCTGGGCAGACAGCTCACCAGCAGGACACACACACAGGACACCTGACCAGCCGACTCTGGGCAGACAGCTCACCAGCAGGACACACACACAGGACACCTGACCAGCTGGCGTCGGGCCGGTCACGCCCCCTCTCCCGCCGCCCCGCTCTGTGCCGCCGCACAACTATCACCGTTGCCGTCGGATTCAGGAGCACCTGTCACGCCCGCTCTGTGCCGCCGCACAACTGCCGTCGGCTTCAGGAGCACCTGCCACGTCCGCTCTGTGTACCCTTGTCTGTCACTGTTCGAGCGATCCGCTTGCAAATCACAGGTGGCTTTGATAAGCTTTCATCGTGTAACTGACTGACACTGATAGGCCGCTGCACTACTACTGACACCGCTAGGCCGCTGCACCACTACTGACACCGCTAGGCCGCTGCACCACTAGTCTGTTTAGGAATTAGCAGGAGCTGACATGTCAACGAACAAAATCCGGCTGACGCGTCGCCGAGCGCCGGCGCTCTCAGCGGCCGGCCGGACGGTCGAACCCGACTCTGTGACCCGTCTGACCCCCCCCCCCCCCCCCCCACCATCACCAGCCGACCAGACGGTCTCGGTGTCGACAGACAGCAGTATTGTCCAGGACCAGATAGCACGCGCGCCCAGCATTGTTGTAGAACTCATCAGATGACCACGCGGCATTGCTTTGTTCACCGGTCGACAGTGCATCTGCCCGGGACAGGTTGGTCGTTGAATTGCTCTACCTCTGTTGCTCAATGTGCAATGCGTCACGTGATGTGCTGATTGTGATTTGCGTTGGTCATTCGCGTACATTCGTGTTATTTGCGTATTGCCTGAGTTCATATTCTCGCAACGTATTCTCGCTAACACTTGCCACGTTTATCGTATGGTACCACGCGTGCCAACAGTCCGCCATTTTGGTAATCCGTTTGTTTCCGTGGCATTAAATCGCTTTGTAGACATCGATGATCCGTATTATGAGCTGAAATCGTTCATGTCTGCTTCCATGCCCGCTGTTGCCTTGAGATTTACCGAATTCACGATCGAAGTCTAAAACCCGATCCAGCTTCTACATTGGGTGAACGGAATTTTCCTGAATACCTGTCCGATAGGCGCGATCGCCGTAACTGGCAAGCATTATATGAATTCATCGGTGCATTCATCATAAGCCAGTTACGTTGTGATGAGAATAGATCGTGGTGGTTGAGATCGCCGGGAGCATTGACTGAGCAGGCTCTTCATCACCGTCGCATGGCTCAGTGCGCGGAGCGCGGTTTTTGCCCGGGCGCGCCCGTGGAAGAAGGATGTCTTCTTTTTTGAGGAGGAGGATCCCAGCCATCAGTGCAGCCTGTTATGTGGTCTAGCCGGGCCCACTGCCAGGACGACTGGCTTGGGCTCGGCCCTGAGCTGCCGAAGCTCGCGGTCCCTGGCCTGTGGGCCGGACTCAGCGCCGGCCGGTCCAGACACGCTCTCGTGCGTCCCGCCCTCGGCGGCCAGCGCGGCGCACTTGTGGCCAGCGGCCACCGGCGGCGCCGGTGACGTCAGCCCTGTCAGGCCCGGCCCGCCTGTTGACGCTGTCCCAACAGACGGCCGTGCCTGGCTTGGCGACGGCCCGAGCTTTTGTTAGGCGGTCCCGTCAGTCAGGTGCGGCCCTCCTGCTCGTCCTCAGACGGACTCCGGCTCACGGTCACCACAGGACCTGACCGGCCGCCGCCCGCTGTCTCGGCTGGCCGGCAGGTGTGGCTGTACACTCAGACGCAGAGCCTGGCGGCGTTCGCTCCCGGGTTGGGCCGCTCCCAGCCGCGCCTCTCGCCCGTCTGCGCGGTGAGCCCGGCCGGGCGGTGCGCGGCGCGGCGCGGCGCGGCGCGGCGCGGCGCGGCGTTGCCGGCGGCCCGGCACAGCGCCGCGCCTCGCCACGCCACGCAGCGCGGACGTGCCGGGCGGCCGGCGCGCGTCACACCGGCTGCGTCGGCGGTATGCCGACAGTTCGGCCGCGCACGAAACCCGCCGCGGTCGGCCGGTACGGCCTGATTCGATTGTCCAAATTGCCGGCGAGGCCGCTCGACTGGGTCAATATTGGCGCCGCGGGGAGCACCGGGGCGTAACAGCGTCGGCATGCGGAGCCGGCGCACCTGGGGGCGGTCGGCCCGGCTCGGCGCGAGCCTGTGCCGTGCGGACGCCGCCGCGGGCGCGTTCGGCGGCGCCCGCGGTGCACCTGTGCGCGGTCGGCGTCAGTGCTATTGACCCGACCGCGGACACCGTCGCTGCACACCGATGCCAACGAGTCGACCCAAATCGGCGGAGGGCAGGGCCGAGAGCGGCGGCAGCGGCTGCGCTGCGGCCGGCGGCTCCACGTCCTCCCGATCCGTGAAGGGAATCCCGGCTCCTGCCAGCTCGGCGCGGACGGCCCGCGGCAGGCTCCCGCTCGCTGCGGTCCTCGGTAACGGCGCGCGACGGCGTGAGAGCGCAAGTTTTGCGAAACGGACGCCGGCCGGCTGTTTAGGATGCCCGCCAGCTGCGTGATGCGCCTATAAATTCGCCGCTTGCCTCACCGGGCGGGGTTATTCTGCCGGCGGGCCGTCGGCTCCCGTGGCAAATGAGCTTTATT